TCTCTGACCTGTCTCTGACCTGTCTCTGACCTGTTTCTGACCTGTCTTTGACCTGTTTCTGACCTGTCTCTGACATGTTTTTGACCTGTTTCTGACCTGTCTCTGACCTGTTTCTGACCTGTCTTTGACCTGTTTCTGACCTGTCTCTGACTTGTCTCTGACTTGTCTCTGACCTGTCTCTGACCTGTCTCTGACCTGTCTCCGACCTGTCTCTGACCTGTTTCTGACCTGTCTCCGACCTGTCTCTGACCTGTTTCTGACCTGTCTCTGACCTGTCTCTGACCCGTATAGACGCCCCCCCCCCAATAAATCCCACTGTTTATTTGCACATGTTGGCCTTAACGTGTTATTTAACTTTTCTACTAACAGTTTTTTGTGACACCTGAAAACTAATTACTTAAAAACATTAAATCCTTGTAAAAAATTTTCACCTAAAGGCATAACCATTATTTCACCAGTGCAATGCATTCTGGGGTATGAAGTCCGTAGGTTGCAGTGGAGACTAAAACATAAGGCATCAAGCCTAATACGTTATAATGTACAACAATAAATTTAAATTTTTTGCTAGTTCTTGTGCCAGTATCCTTGGAGGTGTCTTTAAACCTTTATTATTATATAATGTGTAATTCTTTTAATCTATCTGAGGACGTGTTCTGATCCGATGCTTGTGGAGAACAACTTGTGACAGAAAGCAGAACTCTGTGCAGCAGAAGCTCTCTCAGCAGCATAAACGACTGGTCAGACTTTCTCCTCATCATCATTCAGTTTTTGTCATTTTTCAAAACTGATGTTCAAGCTGGATGGAGTTCGCATCAGAGCAACTTTTCTGTCATTTACCCAGAATGCATTGCAGTGCAAACAACATGGCGACGTCTTGTTTTTACAGTCCTGTATTTATAGCTGAAACAATGACTAAAGTTTGTTGTTCAAACTAGTCGGAGCTCTGTGTGAAACCAAACAATTGGTGTTTATCAGCTTCTTCATCCACTCAATGGTTTTATCTCCTACAGGGTTTCCCAGTCCACGGTCCAAACCCCTTCACGGGTTCCTGTTGGCCCACCAGCACCCAGCTGGCTGCCTCCAGAGCTTCCAGCAGTCTCCGTTCAGCAGCGTTGCCAGCAGCGTCAGCCTGGATGCTGGCATGGCCATGAGAGCTGGAGCCAGTCTGCTGGAGAGCAGTGCATTGTGGGAAATGACCTACGGAAGCCGAGCGCCAAGAGTCGGCGCTGACCTGTCATCAGGATCATCAGGGTACCAGTCGGGTACTGGCCACACAGGTCCGAACAGAAATATTTCATCAGCTGTCCTTAAATAATGAAAGAGCTAAATTAATACTGTTTAAAACAAGCAGAACAGAAGCTGAGTCAGCTAAACCACAGCTAAAGGCTAAATGTAGCAAGCTGTAGCTAAATGCTAAATGTAGCACAACTGGGGCTAAAGGCTAAATGTAAACAAAACATAGCTAAAGGCTAAATAACACAAAATTGTAGCTAAAGGCCAAACATAGGAAGACCTTAGCTAAAGCTAAATGTAGACAAATCTTAGCTATAGATTATATGTATCAACCTGTAGCCAAAAGCTGAACGTAACCAAACTGTAGCTAAAAGCTAAATGTAAGAGCTATAGCTGAAAGCTAAATGTAGCATAACTGTAGCTAGAAGCTAAATTTTTGTGAAAGCAGAATCGGAAGTTATTTTTAGATTTAGAAGCTAAAGGTGGGGGATGTTTCAACCTTTTTTTGTTGCCACGGGTTCCTGTCTGATGCAGACAGAGAGGCCCGGTTCTGCCGGGTCAGCGGTTCAGTCCATGTTTGGATTCTTCTGCAGGTTCAGATCTGACAGCGGAGCACCTGAGAGAGATCCGGAATCTGAGACAGAGACTGGAGGACTCCATCCAGACCAACGACCGCCTCCGGCAGCAGCTGGAGGACAGAATGTCCCGAACCGTCTCAGAAAAAGGTGAGTTCTGTTTGGGTCACTGAATGCGGGTCGACGGTTCTGTTTGTGCCGTCTTCACAGAACGCCTCGCGGCCAGTTTGTTTTTAGAAAAATCAAAACTGATTACTGATGTCTCCATCTTCAGGTGGTCCCACCAACATCTACATCCAGGGTCTGGACTCAGTCAGCCAGCTGTCCAGTGAGATCCGAGTCCTGAAGGAGGAGAACTTGAGTCTGCAGACGCAGCTGAAGCTCGCAGCCAGAGGTCCTGATGCTCACCTGACTTCACCTGAACCAGAAACTCAAAAATTAAAAATCACAAGTCTTTGTGCGTCTGGCTGAAATCTGTGAGCTTTCAGCTGTCATGTTCCTTCAGCAGAGGGCAGTGAGGAGGCGGAGCGTCTGAGGGAGGCGGTGCTTTTAGAGCAGTCCAGGTTCAAAGAGGCGGAGCTAGATGCAGAGAGGTGGGCGGGGCAGGTAGAACAGCTGAAACAAGACCGACAGAGGAACCAGGAAACCATCAACAGGTAGAGAAGTTGTTTTATTTTTATTTATTTTCTCTGTGAAAAGAATCGATGTGACGATGTTTGTGTCTTTAGACTCCAACACGAGGTGAGCGTCCTGTGGCAGCAGCTAAACGAGAGCCGAAAGTTGGTCCATGAGCTTCAGAACCTGCTTCAGCTGTGTGGCAGTGTCACTGGTACGTCACACACTCAGGTAGGACTAATCAGCCAATCAGCTGCTGACCTTCAGGCTGCTTCACGTCCATGGAGGAACGTCTAGAATCATCTCATCTGGGCTCATGAAAAGCTAAATGTAGCTAAACTGTAGCTTAAAGCTAAATGTAGCTAAACCGTAGCTTAAAGCTAAATGTAGCTCAACTGTTGCTTAAAACTAAATGTAGCTAAATTAGCTAAAAGCAAAATGTAGTAAAACTGTAGCTTAAAGCTAAATGTAGGTAAACTAGCTAAAAGCAAAATGTAGTAAAACTGTAGCTTAAAGCTAAATTTAGCTAAACCGTATCTTAAAGCTAAATGCAGCTCAACTGTTGCTTAAAGCTAAATGTAGCTAAACTAGCTAAAAGCAAAATGTAGTAAAACTGTAGCTTAAAGTAAAATATAGCTCAACTTTAGCTTAAAGCTAAATGTAGCTAAATTGTAGCTTAAAGCAAAATGTAGAAAACTGTAGCTTAAAGTAAAATGTAGCTAAACTTTAGCTTAAAGCTAAATGTAGCTAAATTGTAGCTTAAAGCAAAATGTAGTAAAACTGTAGCTTAAAGATAAATGTAGCTAAACTTTAGCTTAAAGCTAAAGGTAGCTAAATTGTAGCTTAAAGCAAAATCTAGTAAAACTGTAGCTTAAAACTAAATGTAGTTAAACCATAGCTAAAAGCAAAGCATAACTAATTTGTAGTTAAAATCTATGCCTAGTAACTGTAATTTTAAAGTATTGGTGCTTTGCGACTGTCTCAACTGTCCTCGGCTCCACCCACACGGCACCAGTTAAGGGCCCGCCCACTGTTGGTACCACCCCTGCTCAGCCCGGTTTATGGGTCCACCTTGTTCGTGGTTCCAAGCGGGCTGCTCCGAGGTGATGATTTTAATGTAAGCAGATAGCAGCTGTTGATTGGCCAGTGGAGCTACGTCACTGGATGACTGACCAGCAAAACTGCAAACTACATCTGAACCTCCACTTCCTCATCATGTTGATGGGCGGGGCCACAAGAAATGAGAGCATTACAGAAAGGTATCAGAGATGATGGCTACGCCTGGACATGAGCAGTACCGGGAAAAGCTAAAGAAATTGAAGTCTGATTATAGGGTGATTAAGGACCACAACGGGCGGAGTGGCTCTAACACAACGACCAGTTATGATCCCGCCCACTTTGCATTGATGATCCCGCCCACGAAGCGAGGAAACGGGTCACAGTGGCAAATCAACTCCACCTGAGAGCAGATCATACAAGAGCCAAACGGAGTCGCACCAACCAATGGCCCACCATGACCTTTGACCCCTAAGAGCTGAAGATTCATCTGTGGCAGCAGTTGATTGGTCGAGCTGACACGCCGCCTGCTGATTGGTCGAGCTGACAC